GAGCGGAGGAACACCATAGTCTGTGGCCTGAACTTTAAACTGAAATGTTTTTAGCTCCTCATAGTTAAAAGACTGCAAATTGATTAAATCCCCTGTGTCTGAGTTGATGTTTATAACAGATGATATTGGAATATTTTTTGATGAACTTCCTAACAGTTTGTAGGTAACTTTTGCATTATTATCTAGATCAGAATCAAATGCGTTTATTGTAGAAATAACTGAACCTACAGGGCTGTTCTCTTTAACAAATACATGAATCACTGCCTCATTAAAACGAGGTGGGTTATCATTGACGTCAGCAACGTGGACAGTAATGACCCGGATGCTGGACAGAGGTGGACTTCCTTCATCTGTAGCTGTAATAGTGACATTATAAAGAGAAATGTTTTCTCTGTCCAGCGGTCCATCTACCACTAATGAATAATCATTTTTGTAATTTGACTTTAATTTAAAGGGAACAGATCCAACTACACTGCACTTAGTAACACCATTGTTCCCTCCATCTTTATCACTGACTGTAACTAAAGCAACAATTGTCCCCAGCTGCGCGTCCTCTCTTACTGGCGTCATGAGTGACGTCACATATATTTCGGGAGCATTGTCATTTACATCAATTACCTCGATCAATAATTTAGCGTGTGCACTACGAGGTGATGCTCCTTGATCTTTTGCTTGAACTCTTATTTCATAAGCACGTGTTTCTTCATAATCTAATTTGCCTTTAAGTTTTAGTTCTCCTGTTTCTGAATTTAGAACAAAATATTTTGATGGATCGATGTTCCCCGTTTTTATTAAGAAATAAACAATTCTACCATGCATCCCTTCGTCCAAATCTGTTGCATTCAACTTAATAACAAATGATCCGGGGACAGCGTTTTCCCTAACTTGTACCTTATACAATGATTTACTAAATACGGGTGTATTGTCATTAACATCCAAAACATTAATGTTTATCTGTAAGGTCCCTGATCTCGGTGGTTTTCCTCCATCTACAGCAGTCAGGATAAGTTTAATTATTGCTTGTTTTTCTCTGTCTAAAGCTTTCTGCWGCACCAACTCAGCAGACACTCTGTGTTCTCCACCGCTCTGAACATCAAGGGAAAAATGATCATTTTGGCTCAGCTTGTAACTCGTCACTGCGTTATTTCCGGTGTCTGCATCCACAGCTACTGGGAGTGGAAATCGCTCTCCTGGCGTCATCAATTCAGATATATTTATCCAATGCATTTGTTCAACAAAAGAAGGTGAATTATCATTCACATCTAGAACATTAACCTCTATTCTGTGCACACTCATTGGATTGTTTAAAGCAGCTTGTATCTTGATGGAGCATTTATCTACATGCGGACAAAGCTCCTCTCTGTCTATTCTCTCGGAGACAAAGAGGCTCCCGGTGCGTAAATTCACATCAAAATACGTCTTACTGAAACTCGAAACGATGCGTAAATCTCTGCTCTCCAGATCCTGTACGTTCAGATTTAAATCCTTTGCGATGTTCCCCACTACTGTCCCTTTGTTCAGCTCCTCGGAAATTGAATAGGTTAACTGCGGAGCAGAATAATCAAACAGACAAAGCAGCGCGAGCAAAGAAATCCACGTGGATCCGTTCCGAGTTCCCAAAACCATCATTGATGTGAGAAAACAAACGGAAAAGAGAAAATCAACAAATCATAAATCCATTAAAAATGAATTTCCTTTTCGAATATGGTCATACTTCAGGCTTCGTCTCCACAACCGACTGTGCAAAACTGTGATGGTCGGCGACAGTCTGTTCTTTTTTCTCTGTACACAGAGGAGGGGTTGCGGGAATGCAAATTAATTCATTCTAACGGTCTCGTGCGGCATCTTGTGGTAACCAACATCTCGCACATATGAAAATATATAAAACAAAATAAAATGAAAAAGTGAAATATGGTGACCAAATATTTCTACCATAATCAACATATTTTTACACTGAAAAAAATCCACCAAAGTTATCCTTTCTGCTTTGCTTGTTTGGACATTTAATCACAAGAAAAAAAAAAAAACTTTTAAGGAACGCTCTGCAGTATTTCTTACTTCAGTACCACGGAGAGCGATTTTTGACCCGCTCAGGGGAAAAAAGCAATTATTTCATATTGTTATAGATGAAAAAAAATGAAAAAATAAATAAGTATAACGTCATCATTATATTCATTAAACAATACATTGAGGGGCAAGAATATACACTTGTTTGTCTAAATTCTCAATAAGAAAAAAGTGTAAATGCATGTATATTAAATTATTTACCTTTATTTAACCAGGCAAGACCGGTGAGATCGCTATTTTCTTTTTCAAGGGAGGCCTGGGCCTGAAGACAACCATTTTTTGTGGGGGTGGGGGGGACCAGAGTACTAGATAAAATCCATGCAAACACGAGGGTAAGAACAAACTCCACACAAAAAGACCCCAGGTCCAAAACGGGGATAGAACTCAGGACCTTACTGTGGGGCGTCGGTGCTAACCACTGAGCCGTCGTGCTGCCATATATTATATAATATATTGTATGCCACATAATATACAATAATTTATTTGTGGACTAGAATGGGCTGCTGTTTTCGTCTTGATATCAACATATCCCACAGTTTGAAATGTTTTACTGAAACGTGTAGGTCAAAAGTTCGTGGTCTACATGACACAACTTGAAAACAGAGTTCACAAAACAATCATGATAACTCAAATTACTTTTTTTTAGAAACAAATAAGAAAAGAGGTGCCACAGTTCTTGGCATGCTAAAACTTACATAAATTCAGGCAGAAAGATGCCATCAATATAATAATTAAAAAATGCCTCAATCAAAAACGGACAACGTGATCGCAAATTACTTTTGAATGTTTTAAACAAAATCAAATGAACTGCCTACCTTTTCTGATGTAGGTAAAGTCTGAGTTCTGGTAAAAGTGTCTCCTCCATTAATACTGATGAGTTCAGCATCTACAGGTGGAAACGGGGCGGGGAAAAC